AGAGTAACTGATTCGATTGTTCAGTTCCTCGTCCACTGAACAGAGAAGACTGTATCCCAAGCTGTCTACGGAAAGAAGATAGTTTTCATTTAGGTCAACCTCTACATTTACTCTGTCATTTGATATTTAGAAAGTGTTGGGTGGTGTGGGAAAGAGCATCTAAAAATACAACCTCATGCTGTAAAGATTTGGTTCAGGAAATTGTTCCCAATTAGATGCGAGGCTTGCCTTAAGCCCCAGGCCCTTCTGCTCAGGGCACACACTCCAGCCTTTATTAAAGGGACCTGCTGCTTGAGGTCATGCCTCATTTGTCCTCACATTGTAGGAAATCCCAAATGCAATATCCATAAAATATAAAGGGATTTAAATGAGGGTCCATCTGGGGAATGGGTGAGGAGGAGGAAAGTTGTGTGTGGTGTTTTATCTTTCTCATTGATCTTCTGCCTGGTAACAATTTAAGTCCTGAGATGCCTACATGCATGTTTTCACAGACTATACTCTGAAAAAAAGCTGTCAGTTTATACTCTTCAGAAACAAAGCAGAGATGCTCAGATGCAAGCTCAGATGTGGATTTATCTATTAGAAACACCATCCAATTCTTGCCTTCACCTGGGCTGGAGTCACTCTGACCTTGCGTCTAACTTCTAAGCAAGAGAATGGAAAAAATTCTTCGTAGAGATTTTAAATTGTAAACATTGAATACAGAGGCCATGGATTTGATAGACTCCATCTGTAAAGCAGCATTTAAAGGCAAACAGAACACTATTCACGGCTGATTTGGTTTACCTTAGAACACAGTTTACATTCTTCTATGTAGCCTGAAATAATAATACACTGACTGCAATGATATCTTCAATTTTGGTATCTTGAAAATACCATTTACAGATTTTTTTTTAAAAAAACCACACCTATTACTATTAAAGTTTGTAATTCCGCCATGGCTTTCCAAAGACTTTGCATATGCAGAGAATCAGGAGACAGGAACCAGAAGGAGGGTAGAGGATACAATTCAATGGAACCTGCTTGTCGTAAAAGCTACAGGGTTCTGGCCGCCCAACTGTTTCTCTTCACTGAACACCAGCCAAACTCATCTATATACGCAGAGATGTGGACAGGGTTCTCAACGCACCATGAAGAGTTTTCTGGGCATAGAGTTTCGAGTTTTATTCTTCCTTCCCCTTTCTTCTTCCCTCCCTGGGAGCTTTGCATATCTGCGGGGGAAAGCATCCCCATTCTGGCGGTGGAGCGACCAGTGTAGTGCGGAAAGCCTCCTGTCCCAAGCAAACCAGGATAGTTGGCCACCCGACCTGCCCCACATGGGTGTCTTGCTCCCCTCCTTTCCTACGGTCTTCCCACTTGGCAACCAGGAGAGCATGGTGATTTAGAGACTGCCAGGGTGCTGCCAATGTGTGCTGTCCCGTGCGATGTCGCAGCAGGAGTCTCAGCCAGGAGGGGAGGCTCGGAGCCTGGTGCACACGCTCCCTTCCTACTGGAAAAGGCAGAGGCCCCAGGCCTTGGAGCAGGGAAGGTGGGTCGTGCTCTCCGCCTTCCGGAGATTCTCTGTGGTTGCTTGGTCCTGGAAGTTTCTCCGAGCTCCCTGGAGCCCTTTTTCACTTGCTCATGCACAGCTTCCTAGGGGAATGGACCGTAACAAAAAGGATCCTTGTTTTTAAACCTAAAGTTTCCCTCCAAGGTAAAAATAATACCTTGTAATGAGTAAATGGCAACCAGGTGAAACCCAGAAAATAAAATAGAAATGTGGCCATAAAGGCTCATAGCCTGGAATCTGATTACAGCATGTGTGTAGGTGTGTAGGGATGCGTGTATATGTGTGTAAGCTTTGATGGGGGGGGTCAGGATAGAGTGGGAAGCGCTACTTACACAACTTGCCCTTCATTTCCAACTTTTAGGTGATTTCCTCTTTCTCAATTCACCAAAGGTGGTGCTCAGAACTAATAATAAATGAGTATTTTCAGGTTAAGTATGGGCTGAAAAGTCTTGTCACTATCTACAGAGTCACTGGAGAGAGTGCAGTTGTGGTGTGCAAGACACATAATCCTTAGGAGCACCAATGGCATCCTGGGACTAAGGAGTTTTCTTCCATTTCTGGGAGGGGGGGAGAACTAGGTCACTGCTACAGTGGATTTTCCCGAAGGTTGAACCAATGAGGGCATAGAAACTCCTGGACACACTGATGCATTCCTCCTTTCCCCCCAGCCCTCAGCCAAGGGAGTTGTCATTCTCCCTATGCTAAGACTTTATAAAACTTGTTTTTATTTAACTCAGTTCTTGAGCAAAAAGTATATTGTTCTGCATCCAGGCCAGAAAACTCTGTCCGAAGAATTTACAAGCCGCCTATGGAGTTTTAAGGTTTCAGATGGGATGGTCCCAAGCCAGGATTTGCTAACACATCCCAAAAATGAGGCCTGTAAAAAAGAAAAGAAACAACTATGGTGCCTTTGGAACTTTCCTAATAGGTATCGTGAACAGTGGAGGTGCTCATCCATCGGCAGGTCATTTTCAAGAACAATCTGAATCAAGCTTGTAAGTTGTAGGAAATAATGACCCAGCACTGAGACCTGCCCCACCTTCTTAACAGAGGCTTTTCTGCCTGGTTTCTTCTCTCATCGGGGGCCACCACTGGAAACCAAAGGCATAGTGCCCTCCACTTATATGTCCCTTTAGGTGGTAGAATCTATACAAGATACATTGTTAGGGACATGGCCGAATAACAGTTCCCTTCAGAAGAGTTCACAAAACATAGCGGAAAGGGCAAGGCTTCCTCAGCTGGGACAGGTTTGAGTGTGTGCTCACGGGACATTGACTCCCCGCATAGGAAAGCAGCGTGGAGAAAGGTGGTCATGAGCAAAGGCAGCTGCAGGCTTTGTGCACACACTGCTCTGCACACCCACAAGTGTCCTGGCTGCGAGAGCTGTTCTCACCCAGCACACTGCACCTAGCAGCTTTCAGAGGTGGATGTCAGAGACAGGACTCGGGATGGCCCAAGGTCAGTGCCTCATGAATGATCCCAGGGGGAAGTACAACACATTTCTTCTTCAATAAGAAGCCTATCTTGTGACCAGTAACCAACCCACCTTCATCACGAACATGTCCTACTGAGGGCCCCTCAGGTAATTCCCACCATGTTTCTTGCCAGGCTGTCTCACAGGAAAAAGCCCCATCATCTGAGAAGCTTCTACTTGTGGTCAGGGTGTGTTTATTGTTGTTGTTGTTTTGTATTGTTTTTGTGTGGTTTTTTTTTTGTCCTGAATGACCTGGATGGTGCCCTGTGGCTACCTTTTCCTCCAGATGGCATCAGCCTTTATGTTATAATCCTTGTTTCCAAGTTCTAAGACTGCTAATGCTGCACATTCTCAAAGATGATTTATTAGTCTCTTTAGGAAGGTATATTTCTGCAAGGATCATGTCATTTGCAAGACATATGGCAGAAGGGAGCTTTAGTTAAGGGATGGTGAACTAAATTGCATCAAGTTTTGCTTTGGCAAGGACACCAGATGGATGCCTTTATGATGAAGTGGGTCTCCTCCAGCCTTTTCTTTTACGAAGATCTCCAACAGGTGTTTCCTCTGAGGCATATCTGTTTTCCATAACATCAGAATGAAAAAAGAAATGAATGAAGAATGAAGAAAGCTGTCTGTGACAGCTTGTGTACATAGATCATACTTTTATTATGATAGAAAAGTGTATAGCGAATGATTTGCTATTCTGAGTCAAGTTAAAATGTGCTTCAGAGATTATCTTCCGTTTGCCAAAAGGACGTTTAATTTCCAGAGGAAAGACTCTTTATTCACTATGGGTGGGTCGGGGGCTGAGGGTGGGGGCGGGGGAGAAGCGAGGAAAAGCTGAAGAAAGTGACCAGAAGAAAAACTGTGGGAGTGTTATAGACTTGAGTGCTGAGGGCAGGGTGCAGGAAGCCACCTCCCTAAAGGTAACTTGGTACATTATGTCAGCATCTGAGGGAAGGTGTCTAGGAAACTATACATGGAGAGAAAAGGATCTATGAATGAGTAACATAGTTCTCCAAATTCTGATAAGAATCGAAACCAGACTTGGCCCCTAGGTGTGTTGCCTTTAACAAGCTTGGCATAAAGCCATCGCCATGGCTTTGTCCAGTACCATTAAGAGAGTCTGTGTGGCTCTTAGGATTCTGGGTTGGGGCTCCTGACTTAGGAATATTTAAATCACCAAAAGGCATGTTAATTGAAATGAACAAGGTAACCCGTTTTGGTCAAGCGGACCTTGAGACATATCACAACGCCTGGCCAGGTAAATGACTAGATCCACTAAGGTTCTAAGTAGGCCTTACACGGAAGGACGAGTAGGGATTGCCCCTAGGCCACGGCCGATCTCATCACAATTAGCCTCTACTTTTCCAAACCCTGTCCCAGTGCCCCATCCTCCCACCCCGGCTTCCCTGGCTGGTCTCCTCGCCCCAGTACTGGAGGTATGACACTTCAGTCTCCGTCTAAGTAAGTTCCTTTGTCTGAAAAATGTATGACTTAACGCAGCAATTTAGAAACTAATCTGGTTAAAAGAGAAAACATTGCTTGTCGTTATGTTGAGTCTGCGACTTTGGGCCAGGTGTTGAATAACAAGCTATATTAATTCACGGGGAACACCCCAGCCCTTCAGCGCAGCGAGCAAGCGAGAGGTGGTGTTGTTTCCAGGGTGTGCAGTAAACTCTCACAGGAGAGCGCTGTCATAAGCTATTGATTACCAGGGCAGCACCTATAGTGTGAGGCAGTATACTGCGTCCCAAAAGGGGTTCGAAGGGACAGTAAAAGATATTTTTAAATATAATAAAAGAAGTAAGTACATAAGTAAATGTAAAAGGGTTTTGTGGTGAAATAAGTGTGTGGAACACTGCTTTATACACAATTGAAAGGATTTTATAGTTGCAAGGCTTTTCAGAACCCTCATATGCTAAAAGGCAGTGTGGATCTCAGGCAATATTTTTCTCAAAATTTATTGGATTACAGAAAACAGTTCCTAAGAGCTTCTCCAGTTACCGATATTCCACGGAACGCATTTATGGAAACTCTTTATTTGTGCTAAGATGGGATGGACTTACGACCACCACCGCGGTAGCAAGTATGAAGTCCACGTGGCTTACCACAGCAAATGTGTGCTTCTTGTTTATGTTCCGTGTCCAGCACAGGTCAGGAGGCCAGGGCTCTGTCCTCCACTCGCGTACTCGGCTGTCATCTCTGCAGCAGGTTAGAGAGCCTGAGAAGAACATGGGAGTTGTCACTGTGTCAGCCATCACTTCTCACAGTTCATTGGTCAAACCAAGTTATGTGGCCCCAACCAACTGCCTGTAGGCTAAGGAAGGAAGGAATTGGATATTGTGCACCCCACTGATTTCAACCAAGCATTATATTCAAACACCAGCTTTATAATTTGTAAGCTCTTTGACTGTTATCCGTAAAATAAGAACTACTCCCCAAATATTTCAGTTGCTTCCCATGTTCCTCATCCCCCTTAAAGTCAGCAGGAGCCATGTGACTAGTTCTGGCCAATGAAATGGAAGCAGCAATGATAGGTGCCACTTTGGGCCAAGGGACTTAAAAGCCTGGGTTTGATTCTTCAGTTTCTTTCTCTTCCATTGCCTAGGTGACTGAGGAGGATATGTGTTCCATGTGTGTGGCCTTAAGGTGGCAGAGCCTCTGTCTCCCTAAGTCTCTGAGTGGCTCTTCACCTGAGTTAATATATGATGTGGATGAGAAATAACCTGTGTTGTGTTAAGCCCCTGGGATTTTGATGATGTTTTTGTATACTATGTCTAGATTGATTCTCTTGACTTAAATAGGTCCTTTCAAACCCTAAACTTTCTGTGAACAAGTGAATATGCATTCCTTCGGATGTGAATGAGATTTTTCAAAACACTTTCTAACCCATTTTGGTGCTTCATTATTTTATATGATAAACATTGTGCCCAACTGCATTGTGGAGTGACCACGTGGAGGGCTTTGCCAAGATTTAGATCAAGATCGAGCATATTCTAGTCAAATGCAGGTCAGTAATGTGCTCTGTAAATAATGCAAAATGCATTTAATCAGCAGGGATGTTTCAACAGAGATCCATAGGAAAGACATCAAAAGGAGAGGGGAGGAAAACAGACTAAGGAGAGAGATGCTACCCTTGGTCTCACAGCCTTTAAAATTTCATATTCGGGTGTCCAAAACACCTCTCATGACTCCCCCCCAACAATAGTATCGCCATGATAGTATTAAAATTAAGAGTAGAAATAACTACCTTCAAAGCATGTATAATCTAAGGTAAAAGAACTGATGTCTCTGTTAAACACACACAGATGCATGTACACACACACACACACACACACACACACACTTCTTGTGACTTTTGCCCAAAGCGTTTAGTATGTCGTCAGCTGTGATATAGTCTGGACATTGAGCTCCTGATGTACTGCTCTGGAGTCTCAGAGGTCCAGGGTCATTCTCCTGGTGTTACTCTTTACTCTGGGCTCACGGCTCTAAGGAATTTCACATCTTGGCTTTGTTTCAGCAAAAGTTCTTATGCTAACTCTCCATTCTTCTTCTTTAGGACTTTTCTCTATGAAGATTCTACTGACAGTCTTGATAGCACTGGCATGTTTCACTGGTGCAGAGCAACCCGTTTGGACAAGGTGATTCTGGTAGGTGATCTTGCACCAAATCTCAAAGAATATAAAGCTTCTCTTAGGGTAAATGATGCCCTCCCACTAGTCATAAGTACTTGCCATTTCTCTTTGTAAACTATGAATTTTGGAGGGAAAACATAGTTTGCAAGGCAGGTGAATGGTTTGCAGGGTAACAGATGGGGCATTTGACAAAGACTATGTGGATAAAATTCTGGGACTTAAGACAATCAGATTTCTTCAACTACTCCTTCCCCCCTTTAACTATTTAGCTGAGTTAGTTATTCAGAATAATGTTCTCCTGAAACTTTGCTAGTAAATCTAATTAATTTAAATACACACAGAAACCTATTATTTATAAGAACTCTGGAGTCTTTCCTTTTTTAAAAAGTAATAAACATTTTCCTAATCTATTGTTTTTAACATTTGAATTTTCTATAGTAGTTTTCCTTAAAGCTAGTTATATTTATACTTAGCACATTAGCCAAGAATGTTTCTCCTGGATGCCTGCCCCCTACAACTTGGGTGAATCCTTATTGATATTAGAATCCTGTCGCTGTCTCTGTCCTCTCAAGGTGATAAACTCAGCTCACTGAAATGCCAGCAACTAAGATGTAACAAGCCTTCTATCCTAATCTAGTCTCTGAAGCCTGCTTTCTGGATCCCCATCTATTCTCATTTTCCAGAGTTAGAAACTCAAGTATAGTCTCAGTAGTTGGTAAATTTAACTAACAAAAATGATTGCTTGCATGCTGTATGAACCCTATATAATTTTTTCAACTATGACTAATTGACAATTATGGTTTTTTCTCTTGTTTTCCAAAAGTAGCTTAGTTCGATTTTTTTTTTCTGTTACACACACACACACACACACACACACACACACACTCACATACTCCTTGTGCCAGTGTCCCTACAGAATATATTTCAATTTTTGTAAAAGCATGATCAATCATTTGATCAAAAGCACAAAATTGTCAGAGCTGTCATAGCAACCAGAAGACTGTTAGGATTGCTAAACTCACTATTTTAGCAATTATGTCTTATTCTAAACTCAGCAAAATAAACATCCATTGAGCAGGCAGCCAAACATGTTTTCAGTGGGAGGGGCATTTTTAGAAAGGTTGGGGAGTTGGTTGCAGATGAAGGCATCCCAGCGACTGAGAAATGGAAATGGATGTTTTGTTAGACATACTTCTTAAGCATGCAGGCAGGTTTCTATGGTAGATACATCTCCTTTGCGGCGCTTGATGTGGAATGTAGGTCAGAACACCAGGTGAGTCTCTGGTAAGCACAGAAGGGCTTGTAGTTTAAGAAATTGTAAGCATTTTGAAACCTGTGACCCTAGAGGAGAAATGTCCAGATTGCCAAGTTCAGGGAGGCTTTGAACTAGGTTTAGTTCACAGAAGGGTCGAGTGGAAGTGGTTACTGCAAGTTACTTTGAACAAATAGTAAACCTTTTCCTCCCCCCAAAAGCTACCTCTTTTTTTTACAGGGAGACAGCTTTATGCCACAGTTCCTTGGGGAAATCGCCTCTCTAGCGGTGCCCATTAGTGCACTCTGCCATGTATCTTGTTTCTAATTGTTTAGTTTTACTCAGAAGAGCAATTGTTGGACTTCAGGCATGTTGCATTAAATACTGTTAGAGGCTTCATTATTCAAGTTAAGACTAATTAGATTAGCTGGAGATGATTATTTAATAGATTTGGTTAAGATTCATATCACTCTCTAGGAAGGCTTTCCAGACAAGTAGCTTTATTTCCCCTCACAGGGCGATTCCCTTTGGAAAGAGAGTAATTGCTAGTATGTGCTAATTTGACAGACTCTAATTGTTGAGATGTCAGATGTTACTTATTTATCCTGTTATATTTCATCAGCCCGTTTCACAGAAGCTTGTCATTTAACCCAGCCAAGGATTGGCATGAGGGAGAATGGTGTATCTGAAATACTCTGTCTTCATGTGCTCAGGAATGTAAATCACACTCATACATGATGTACTTTTAAAGACATTTAACGTGTTGTCTACCATCTTCTAAGAGCCCGCCTCTGAAAATCTCGGAATTTCCTAAGATTCAGATTTGATTAGTAGTTACTGAACAACAGTTAATGAACACTGTACTTCCAAGATATTGTTTAGTTTCGACAACAGAATTAACTTCTATTTATTTTTAAACCATTTAAAGTCAGAGATATTAACTACTTTGTTCATACTCGTACAACTAATGGCAAAACCAAAATGCAAACCAGGTCCAGATCCTACCTCCAGAAGAGATGGTTACTCATTTTCTAAAAGAAAAGGTTTGAAAAATATTTCCTCCAGGAATTTCATTCCTTTTTTTTTTTTTTTTAATTACAGTTATTGTTTTTAAAAGTGTGAATGTGGGAAAATGTAATCTAAATTTTCAGCATTCTATTTTGTTTTCAAAGTAGAGCTACGGGGGAGATGCTCACAGTTGGCAATGCTGGTAACAGTATGAGACACATTCAGCTGTTTGGCATCAAATGGAACTTCTGTAGCCTTCTAATTTCTTTTGTGAACTTTCTATGAGTAATTTTCTCAATTCTTGAAAGAATTGATTAAATCAGCTCAGTTTTTATAAAAGCATGATCAATCATTTGATCGGAAGCTCAAAATTGTCAGAACTGTCATATTAACTAGAAGATTGTTAGAGTTGCTGAAACTCACCGTGTTAGCAATTATCTTATTCTAAACTAAGAAAAGGGGTTATTAAATATAAATATTAGTTTGAACCATGTGAAATTGCTGATATTCAACCATTTTTGACCCATAAAAAGGTCATTTCATATGGTTCAAACGAATATGTATTTTTATCTGTATGAAAATCTGCTGAAAACTGCAACACGTTGTGCAACATGTAATTTTCACTGCTCACTGGAAGACAGTTTAGCAAAGGAATTTGGGGTGTTTTCATTGGCCATTGAATCTTATTATAACACATACAAGGCTATACACGTGATGAAAATAAGAGATATTTTCCCCATTCGGTTCAGTGATTTCACATTGAACTGTGGAATGATGTTGACTTAAGTTTTACTTGATGTGGTCCAGAATAACAGAGGACTAAAAAAACAAGTGAAATAAGAAGAAACTGCACAAAATGATCAAAACTATAATTGGCCCACCGTGAATAAGTTCCATTTTTGTATGAGCAGTTTGTAAAATTCTGTTATCTTTATGAAAGCATTCCTGTGGGCGGACCTTACAGAACGGGGGTGGGGGAAGGAGCCCTCTCTGAGGGACTCTCAGGGACTTATTTCTAAGAATGACCAGATTCTGACATGCTTATGCTTAGAAACGAACTGACAAGGCAAAACATGAGTTTCGGAACCACATTGTAGTATGTATCTTTGGAGATGCCCACTCAACACTGATGGGGCTTCGGAATTTTGTAATGCCCTTGAGAGCTAGCAACTATACCCGGCGGGAGCTGAAGGACATTGTGTTCGTCGGGTCTCTGGATTACCTGCAGAGGGAATGGCGATTTCTCCGGAATTTCCCCCAGATATACATCCTGCCTGTAAGTATCACATAAGGAATAGTGAATATTTATAATGGTAATAACACAGGCAATACTAGCATTACTACTACTGCTACTAGCTTGCAGTGATATAGTTGTACCAGAAATTGTACTATGCATTTCACATACATTAACTCATTTAACCCTCAAAATACCTTTATGAGGTAGATTTTAAAGATGTTGAACTTTAGGCATGGAGAAAGTAAGTAACCTGTCTAAGTTTACATGGCAACTAAGTAGCAGGACCAGGATTTAAATCCAGACATTATGCTCAAGAGCCACCATGTTTAATGTTTAAAACCATGTTTTATGGTCTTTATATTAATAAGAGTTTCTCTGCATTTCTGAATCTGATTCTGACTTAATGTCTAAACCTAAGCTGACACTAGCCACTCTTTTTGCTGTAACTTTCTCATATTTTATAGCACATGTAATGCCACATGATCTTTGATAGACATGAAAAGGAGAAATGAGGTTTATATTTCTGAGAAGTGGATCCATTATGCATATGTGGCATTCTGGTTGTAATTGTATTTACTCTGATCCCTCATAGGTCTATATCCTATTATAGGTCACCGTCTCTCTGGATTAAAACAAAACATTATGTATAGTGGGAAATGCACCAAAGTCACACTAAGATATTCATGATTAATAAGGCTAAATGTATCAGATATCAGATAACAAAGTCTCAAAACCAACTCAGTGGAGGCTGGAGAGACGTGGGCTCAGTAATCGTTATCACCCACAAAGATTCACCACCTTGAGCCATGATGAAAATCTGTCCATCTAAGAAGTCCCTCCTCTACCCTGTTTTGTCTCATGAGGGATCTGCACTCTATGCTGGAGACCTCTATGCAGTCAACATAGAGGAATGTGCCATGTGCGCTGTCCTGTCCTCCCCATCCAAGTCACCTTGCCAGACTTTGGTGGACACAGAGACCATCATGGCCACCCTCAACATAGGATCGCTGCGGATAAGCTGCTCTGCTTCGACACCCTCAGATCCAGGTAAGAACAGCGTCCTACAGGAAGAGGCCAGGGAGAACGAAGGAAAGAGAACTAACTTCTCTCTGAAGTACTTTCACCAAAGGGAGGAGTAGTGGACACTTTAGTTCTTGGGAATCCTAAGTCAACTCAAAAATTATATTCATCCTCTAAATGCACATAACACTTCTCCCGTTTTAAGTAAGATCGCAGAATTGCAAGTGCTAATGTTGTTACTAATCAAATATCAGTGAAGATAACCATCGGCATACTATTATAATCAATAGCAGGAATTATTATCATGGAAATCTCACTGGATCTTATAGATGTTCAAGTTATTCTTAGTTTCGTGGTTGAGAGAATGAAGTATAATTCTCTTTCACTATTCAAGATGCTTTCAATATATGAATTTTAGAAGATTATCTCTAAGGTAAGGTCTCTTCCAACTTCTATAGACTAAAAATGTCAACATTCACCTTCAGAGTGGAAGGAGATGGTGAGAAGTGAGATCTCTCTGGGAGGGGATCATGTCTTTGACTCCTTTGTATTCCTCTCAGGACCTACCCAGCAGTTATGGTCACTTAGTAAATGCTTAGCACACTTATTGAATGAAAGAAAATGAGCCAGTGAGCTGGACTCTTGAGTAGTTTCCACACATTTCCTGTGCCCAAATGTATTTAACATACATTCCCACAATAAAAATTGCCCCTCCCCCCATAGGAAAAGGCTTATATATCAGTCTGTTTCTAAAAAATACTACTGGTCACTGAACCTAGTATGAAAACACTCTTACTGAAGAACTTTTCTGTATCTAAAGCAGATTTTCAATTCAAGTAAATCATGATTGGAGTTCCCTGGACCCAGTATTTCCCTTGGGGATGTTGATCCTCTACGTCAAGATTGGGTACTCAGGCCTCTGGCCACGTAGCTTCTGACTACAGCTATTCCACTTTGCATGGAGCTCAGAGAGGTCAGACGTCGAAAGTATTGCAAGGCTTTCATGGTTATGGATGTGGATAAAGTATTTATGAATCCAACTGGAAGGCGAAAGAACTGTCTCTTATGCCCAGGCACTGTTGCTAGGTGGGAAAATAGAACGTTCTTGGGACAAAGGAGTAAACCGGTAATCTAGCCCACTCTTCGGTAGGTGGACCAAACGAGCTGTATGACACACCCTCACTAAGCAACCAAACTCCACTCAGCACTCAAGGTTTCAGGGTTTTTTTGCAAAGCAGAACTAAAAACAAAGCACTTCAAAGTACACTGCAAATCCAGACTAAGAAAGTGTGAGCCATACTTCTGCAGAGCAAATCTGAAGATCCATAAAAGGCTGCTGTGTGCTACCTGTATATCCTTAGCTCAGCCATTAGGGCCGCTTAGATTTACCCAAGATTTGTGTGTGGTGTGGGTGTGAGTGTGGTGTGGGGAGGGATGTGAGAGGTGAGTGTGTGGTTTGTGAGCATATGCATGTGTGGGTATCTGTGTGCATCATGCTTGCAACTTTCTATAATTGGGCAGAGAGGTATTCACTTTAAAGGCAGCCACATCAGTATACAAATGAAGACGTCCACTCAGTAAATGCATGGGATAAACTGACAACATCATAAGCCACCTAGGTGATCATCTGGGTGACTTGTCCTTCCTATTATTATTTTTTAATCTTTACATCCTATATAAGCTAGAAAGATATAAACCTATGATTTCAATTCTGGTTTCCCTTATATCTTCACTCTTTCACTTATTCATCCTACAAAAATATATTGAATCTGTGTGTTGTGCCATGTGCCCTGTTAAGGCTATAAGGCTGCCCTTAGAGGACCAACTGATTGGATGGGCAGAAGGAGGAGAGGAGAGAGGGAAATCGGACTGGAAAGGAGGAAGAGGAAATAAAGAAATGGCAAAGTACAGGGGTGGGCAAAAATAGGTTTACAGTTGTAGGTATGTGAAACAGTGTATTCTTGTATTACTCTTTATTAATTATTACATTGTTATTTGTATAACAAGTGTAAACCTATCTTTGCCCACCTCTGTATTTGTGTTATGCAGCATGAATAGGTTCTTCCCCAAAGACAAAAGGGAAAGTGTAGGGGGAAATCACCGTGTAGGCCTGTACTCCACTTGCGTGGTGGGGAGTTATCAGTCCGGGCGGGTTCTGCTGAGCTGCCTAACGAAAGCCCTTCAGTCTGCTCACCTGGTGCGGCCGCAGCAGTCCAGTCACGTGCTGCGCGCAGGAAAATAGCAAAGGACTGTTCCTCAGAAACCTCGCCAATTACTCCAGCATCATAGGAATCTAACTGAAGTTCATATATAGGAATCCCCAGTCCACAGAAAAAACGATTCCGTTCTTTTAACCACTCTTCCCATTTCATGGTCATATCCTCTTGCCCATACGAGGTGGAGATGGGACACCCACCTTCCAGAGGCGACAGTGTAGAGGGCTGTGAAGTCCGCCAGGAGGGAGAAAACACCTCCCACTGCTGAGCTCCATCATCAGACTAGCTGCTGGCCACTTTCCTTTCCCTTTCTCCAGGACAGTGGTTCTCCAGAAGGGGCAGTGTTGCCCCCCGCGGTCATCGGACCATGTCTAGAAAGTTTCAGTTGTCACAACTTGGGGGGATGCTGTCGGCGTCTAGTGGGTTGAGGTCAGAGATGCTGCTACACATCCCACAATGCACAGGGCAGCCCTACATGACAAAACACTTCTGGCTCAAAATGTCAATAGTACTGAGATATCACTCGAGCATATCTGACGAGCCTTTTCTCGGCTCAGTGGTGGGCTTCTCCACATCTTCACAGTCATGATAAACGTACACATGAAGGCCATCTAGGACCACCAGTGCTATCCCTTGCAGTGATTCACCAAGGGACAGCAGAGGGCAGAATCTCTGAAGTATCAATTAAAATGCGGGGCCTCCTGGCCACCTCCATGGAAAACTTCAGGTTTCCTAGTGATGCTCTAATTACAGCCCTGTCACATCACAAGGGAACAGGTTGGCAAACCTAGGTACTGAACTGAATAATCTGTGGCATAATCTAAACATATAATGGTAATTAAGTCTGACAACTTAATATGCTATTGAAATTTAAGTGTACAGTAGTAATCTACAATTAAGTACTCTTTTGTAATAGCACCCTGCCAGCCTGGAAGATTTCAGGTATAATACTGTGTCCTATGAGCCCACAAAAATATTGACATTAGTGAAATGCACCCAAGCTATGATCTGACACATACTCAAATTAACCGTCCGTCGCTCCACCAGGAGAGGTGGAGTGAAGGCGGACACTCCGTCGCTGTCCTTGAGCTCATATCAGGAGCAGACAACTTAAGCAGCCACGTCAGCCAATGTGGACACTTCTGTATCCACTAAGAACATTTCACTTCGAAAGTCAGGGCTATCCAAGCCCTTTTCTAGAGAGAACTAGAATCAGAAAGTGGGGTTCAAAGGAAGTTGCCCCTTTGAGGGAAACTGAGCTCACTATTATACTGCAAATGTCAGCCAAACCTTGTCTATTTTAATAGGGCTACAGAGTGGCCCCAAAAAGGGCATGGACTTTGAAGTCAGTGCCGATCGGGGTATGAAAGCCCATCCATCATTTACAAGCCATTTAATCTTGAGCAAGCTGTGTACACCCTGCGTGGGTTTCTGCAAGGGTAATCTAACTATATTGATTCGCAGATTTGTTGTGACCTGGTGTAATTCTCATCTCCCTGAAGCTTGTTCTGCGCAGCAGCCAGAGGGCTCTTTTACAAATATTTATCGAATCTTGTCAGTTCCTTGCTGCACACCCTATAGTGATGACCCACGACAATTGTGGGAAAGCAGGGACACGCAGAGCAGGAGGAAGTTTAAATCTTCTCCTTCATGCTGTTTACACTGGCTCTTTCCTACCTTAAATCCCCTTTTCCATCCCCTCTGGCTGGAAGGCTTTTTCTCACCTTGCAGAACTTCAGTGCCAAGTCAGAGAAGCATCTCTTCAAACCCTATCTAAACTCACCTCCTCAGCTCAATCACTAGCCCCTAAAGGTGATTTTTTCACAGGTCGCATCACTGTCTGAAAATATTTTGCGTTTACGACAGGTGACATGTAACCAGGCAGAGATTCCGCAGTCCTGGAGTGGGGGTAGATTATTATTATTATATTATTATTATCATCATCATTATTATTATTATCCTCACCCAAGGATATTTTTCTCTTCATCTTCAGATAGAGTGGGAGGGAGAGAAACATCGATGTGAGAGGGACACATTGACTGGTTGCCGCCTGCATGACCCTGACCAGGGCTGGGTACAAATCACAACCAAGGTACGTGCCCTTGGCTGAAATCGAACCTGTGACTCATTGGTCCATGGCCGATGCTCTACCACTGAGCCAAACCGGCCAGGGCAGGTAGATGCTCTTTAAAATGTGCAGAGGAAGGAAGGAAAGGGACACAGCAGATAAAGCTTCTGGCACAGTTGCGAGAAGAGTGTGGAATCTCCCTTTGCTCCGGTACTTTCTGCATGATGGAGATCTCAAAGGTTCTTTTAGTTCTTTAAAGAAAAACAGTTTAAGGTATTCGGATTCATTATGACCAGGGTTCACCAGTGAATTAGGATATCTGAGCTATTGCTATTGATGCTAAACTTCCTTTTTTTCTTTTTGCTGAGGTAACTGGTTTATAACATGCTTTAGGTGTGCACTGTAATCCAATGTCTGTGCGCATTACAGCGTGCTCACCACCAAGAGTCCGTGTCTGAGTCTCACCGTACATTCTACACCCTTTACCCATTCATCCTCCCCCACTCTGGTGACCACCAATCTGTATCTATGAGATTGTTTTTGTTTTATTTGTTTCTTTTTTGTTGTTGTATTGGATTTTCTGTTTTATAGTCTACAGAGGAGTGAAAACATATGATTTTTGTCCGTTTCTATCTGACTTATTTCATTGAGCATAATACCTTTGAGGTCCAACCTTCCTCTTCAACAGCTGAGTGCACCCCGTTAGTCCTCCTGGCTTCTGCTTCCTCGCCTGCATTCCTAGGGTCACCGCCAGTTCTGACTGTGAACCCAGCTTACTGGGCTCCTCGGGGGAGCGCAGTTTTCACCAGACCCCCCTGAAGCATGACTCAGCATTCCAGTGGCCATCAGACACGCCTCACCTCCGCTCTGCGTTAACGAGAAGGGGCTGTTCTGCTATTTCTTGAGGAGATGGAGCCGGTGGTGAATATTGCAGGATATAGCATTTTCTGCCCAGACATCTCCCTTTGGGTTTTCTCTGGTCCCCTGTCCCCATGTCAGAAGCCAAAGTTTCCACCGCCCTCCTTTTGTCTGTTTCAGGCTATCTCACCTGCCTGCTCATTCTGTTCCTTTCACATCTCACCCTCCTGCCCTGCCTCTTCCCTGGCTCAGGACGCAGAGGGCCCTCCAGAGATGTCACCTCTTCCAAGGCAGCATGGAATTTTAATTAAAAGCAGAATTTTAACTTTCACTTTATTTTGGATTCTCAGATAAGTTGCAAAAGGCAACCAACGATTTTAAAGCATAACTTCGGATGAGATAATTGTGTGTTTGTTTCTTTCTTTATACTTGTTTAGTTTAACTTGGAGACCAAAACTCTGGTGTCATGCTTGTTTTGAAACTCTTCACAGTTCGCTGCCTGATAAGGCTGTTTTGGGCCAGGGCTGTGCGTCAGCTCTCTTTCAGAGTCGAGGCTCACAGAGGTAAATGAGGGGTTTCACCTCCTCATGCAGGAGGAAAATCTTGTCTGTAAACCAGCCGAACGCAAAGGGCAAAGGCGACAAGTGACAACCCACCCCGGTCTTTAAGGAACTCCCAAGGCATTCTGGGTTGGAGCAGACCAACCAGAGATGGGAGGCAGTCGGTTCTCTGAAGAAGAAAGAAGTGTGACTAATGTCTTCACCCAGAGAAGATCTCGGAGGCAGATAGCGCCAGCAGCCAGAAGCCACTTGCGATGCTACCATACGCACGCGTGGAGCAGCCTCACCTGTGTATTCATAGTTTCCTCGAAGTTCTACAAGCAAATCGATGTGGTCCGAGGCACTGCCTGCTGAGCCGTGCCCCAGCACTGCCAGGCCATGGAGAGCCAGCATATTTTACTTATGATGTCATCAGCAAGTACTAGGAGAGCTTTACATTTTTCGTAATGCATTAGAAGTGCCGTGTAGAAAACACACACACACAAACTATGTCTCAAAACGAGATGCTGAGGATGCCCAAATATGTTGTTTTTCTAAATATAGAAGAGGATTTGGGATTTGGGCATGAGAAGAACTTTTCAAAGATAAAGCTTCAAGTTATAAGGTGTGCTTCTCCATCCTTGTCACATTTTACAAGCCACTGTGTTTGCATTTATCAATCTCTTTTGCTCTTTGTTGTTGTGTCTACAGAGGGGATTTCACAAAGTTTCTCTGGACCTGGGAGCTCAAAATACCGAAGAGTCCCCATCCTCACTGAACTGAGTAAGTACTGCTTCAAGGACAAAACTCAAGGGACAAATCTGTATGATCCTTAATGATGTCACAGGGTTCTTTTGAAAATCCACAGTCCAAGCACTGAGCAGGCAGAATGGGGCCCAGAGAGCATTGAGTTCGTGGTGGCACATTACACGGGCTCTTACCTGATTGTTGGCATCATCCAGCAGAGCCTGCTGGATCGGGGTGTCAGGGTGCAAGAAGATCATCTGCCTTCTCAGCCCTCCCAGTTACCAAGAGAGGGAGACACAGAGCTGACCCCCTCTTATTCAGAGGGAATCTCCCCTGGTAGGGGACATGGATGTAAAGACTGCCAAAAAGGATCTTTCTACACCAACCTATCAGCTTCCTTCCCTAGAGTGATACCAGGGCCGGCACTAGGGTGAGGCCCCAAGATACAGATCGAAGGAGGTGCTTACTCTTAGGATCCTTCAGTTCTGTGTCCAGGTATCTCCCTTGTCTCATCTTGATTCTGGTCCTGAGTGGTGGTCTTCTCAAAAAGAAATACTAGATGCAGAAATATCAGAATAAGCTGTTATCTCTCTCCAACACCTTATGGAAGGTGCACATTGTGAAACGTCCCTGGATCTGAGGAGCTCTGGGAGCAGGAAGTAGGGGAGGGAGGGTGCCTGTGTGCATTGGGGGTGGGGGAGGCACTAGGGGATTTAATAATGGTAACAATTGATGAGAGAAAGGGAAGACATCACAAAGATTCGATCAACTCCAAGACAGCCTGTAAGCCGGTCCTGGGCATGCAATTTGACTGCATTCTGTAGCACAGCAACATTCTTAATGGGCATCTCATGACTTTGAGTATCTAAGCTGAGAGACACTTACACCACGCTAGATGAACAGACCTCTTAGTCCCAGAAAGGAAGCAGGGTGATGTGGAGAGGACTCAGTGGGTGACACCACCACGTGATCTGGGCGTGACAGTGCAGCACACAGGACACCATCTGCTCACAGCGGATCCCAGAGCAGTAGCTCTTCAAATTCAACTCTGAGGACCTCAGCTCCCTCGAGCCTACCTGGGACTGGCCAGCTTACTTGGAACTATCTTTAAGCTGTTAGCTGCAGTTTTTATTTATAGTTTAATTTTACTTTTCTACCCTTTTGAACCATCTCTAACCCTGAGGTGCAGCTACACGAAGGACACTGGTTAGAAGACTGTAAGGGAAGTTAGAGTGGTTGGAAGGGGACCAGTCAGGTGCTCACCGGCCCAGAAGTGCATCTGGTCGCTCTCAAGGGACTTACAGCTTTGTTCAGCTGAAGACTTTCTGGCACCTGGTGGCCCTTGTCCGGTTAACCTAACAAATCACCTGCCAGCTCACTGCTGCCTTGTCCTTCAGCTGGCTGGCAAGGGTCACGGTGATATGGGTGCTGCAGACCTGACCACCAGCACTTTGGTGCAGAGTGAACAGCGGCCTGCAGGAAAATGCCTGGGAGAGCTGAGTCACCAGGTGGAGCATGACGCAGCGGGGTTTGGACAGGGGCTGCGGGGATGCGTGCATGTGTTGAAGGTCAGCAGTGCAAGGAGAGTAAATCATGTGTGCATGGGAAATGTGGGGTGGTACTAGTCAGACCTTGCCGCTCTTTTCTAAAACTATGTAGTTCGTGGAAGAAAATGACTCACTAATACTAGCAGTGTATCATTTCCCCCAAACTTGCAAAGGAATAATTTAAAGAATTAGGGAACAATCCCGCCTTAGTTAGGAATGTATTTTGAGTTGTAGATCCAATAGATTTGTTTTGATCTGTTTATGACTGACAAGGGTTGTGAAAAGTCTAGGGCTTTAAACTACATGCATATTAACAAGTTAACCTGCCGTCATTTCATGGATGCTGATAGAAGACACAAAGTCGCTAGGTCAGAGACAAAGCATGATTTATCACTCACGGTAATAGCAGTAGCCAGAGTATCATCATTTTTGTGCTGGTTGCCCAAGCCCTCACTTCCACTGGGTGAGGTGAAAAGGGCGAGGTGATACCTGTACCCACTGTGGACTGCTTTATAAGAGAGGAGCTGGCATCTCTCGTAATGGGCAGTAAGCACGCCTTCTCCTTGCTCTGGTGGGAGACACCTCCCTGTCTCCTAGTGCTGTTCTCCGTGCAAACATTTTCAAAGCGGTAGTCGTTGAACAGAGGCAGTCAGCGCCTCGGCTGGCACTCCCAACCACGACCAGCTCCCTTCACTTTGGAGGCTGCTTTCAGGGGTCTGAGTTGCACCCCTGGGCCAGTACAGATATGCTAACAGGTAGAATGGCCACTGCTATCCTGGCCTCCATTAGGATAATTTTTTGAGCCCTTGCTACTCAGAGTTAATCCATGAATCAGCAGCATCAGCAGCATTTGGAAGCTTGTGGGACACGTAGACTCTCAGGCCCCAGTCTAAACCCGTGAATCAGAATCTGTAGTGTAACAAGATCCCTGGGTGATTCACATGTGCATTAAATTTTGACAGGTTCTGCTTTAACGCATTCGGAACTCAGATAACCTAGGAACCCAAGTAAATACCAAGGTATCTGTGGCACAGTATTGTGAAACAAGACTGGAATTGGAGTGACCATATGTTCCTATTTATGCCAGTTGAGACTGCCCCCTTCTCCTTCCAAAAGTGTCCTGGTTTTGAAGATAAATTAGATAAGGGTGACAATCAGGACCTTGCATGGAGAAATTGAGCCTGAGGTACAAGGATATCCCCTTGATGATGAAGGTACCCAAGAGGGATTCATGTCTTTAAGAGATAAAGAAGTTACTTGAAAAGACCCCCCCCCAAAAAAAAAATGTCCTAAAGTAGTGGCAGATCCCACATGGACCCCAAAGTAGACATCAAACCCTTTGATCAAGTGGTGACCCCTTGGTCTGCTTATATTCTTAAGGCAGTTCCTATATTCTTAAGCTTGCCTGCCTGCCTTTTCCTGTTTGCCTCTTTTGCCTTGCAGAAAATCCTTCCAACATCCACTTTATTGAACAGCTTGGTGGGATGGAAGGGCACTTTCCAGGAACAAGCCTGCATCTCAGCACTTCCTTTTCCACAGGTGCTGTCTTTTCTGGCAGCTTCTTGGATTCCCTCCTGGCCACAGTAAGTACAGCTAAGCTGCGGAGCCCCTGGCAGAGGGGAGAACGGTGGCTTCATGGGTAGACGATGATAATGTCTCACAATTCTAAAGTCTCTTTGATTTTTCAAAGTAGCTTGTTCACATACAGTATTTCATCTTTCCTTACAACTATCTGGCAAGGACAGCAAAGTCTTTACATTTTCAAGATCAAAAACCTAAGAGCCCTTAACACTTGATACCAAGGGGAAGGAGAGGGTAAGCTACCGCGTGTCTGCGTCTGCCTTTCAGCTTCAAGTGCGTGGGGCCCTTTGGTGTCAGAGCCTAGAGATACTGCCTTCTCCTCTCTCTAAAATATCCCCAAAAGTTTATGCAGAAACCAGCCACAGAGGGTCATGGAGTTCAAGGCAAAGCTTTGGCCTTCGGTGGTATGAGTTTTGTTCAGAGCTAAGTGGCATCCCCTCCACGCTGCCCCTCCTCTGCGGTTGGTCTTTGACTGCATGATTGTTCTTCAGCTCTCAGCACCTCCTTAGCCACTGAACAGATCCTTGCATCAGTTACAGGATTTCCAGAAGTAGAATCAATTCACTGTGCAACTACCTGTTGAACAGCTACTCTGTGAGGGGCACTGTTAGGTGCTGGGCACCCAGAACTGATTAAACAAACCACAGTGTCTGCCCGTGTGGAGCTCACGCTGGTGGAGGAGACTGACAGAAACATGATGAGTCAGGAACAGATAAGGTACACCGGGTAGATACGGCGGCCAAGGCGATGTGAGACAGGACATGTAGGCTTTGAGGAAGGGGGTACACATGTCAATGCCGTGACCAGGAAGGCAACACTGGGAAGGTGACCCATGTGTCAGGCCTAGAGGAAAAGAGAGTGCACCCCATGCTGATCTTTGGGGAAGCAACACTCAGCAGGAGGGAGAAGGGAAAAGGTACTAAAGTGAGAGCACCCCTTGTGTGTGCAAGGAATTTGACTGAATCTCACAAAATCTCTGCACAGCCATTTGTCCACGGCTGCAGGAACTCCTCCAAGGGAAACCCTTCCAACCCCTGCCTTACAGACTCCTCCTCCCCAGATTTCCCAAGGGAAGGGCAGGAAAACGGCTGAATATCTATACACAGAGGCTACATGCACGAGGCTCAGAGCACTTTGACAGGCTTGCTGCCCTCTGGAATTCCATGTAGAAGACGCATCGTTCCCGCATTGTATGGGTTTCTCAAAAGTGCACCTTGTACTTGTGCAAGAGTGTAGCTGGTGCGCATGAATCCCCCAACTCGTGGATTCAGTGCCATTCAGTTACTCTGGGCCAAGCTCTCCAAGCCTGGGGGAACCGGGCTCTCATAAAGCCCACCGAGATCTCAGAGAGAGAACACCGTGTCAGTGAGAGTTTAACAAGTTAACAGACTGACTTTCCTAAAGGGTTAAGTGGCTTTCAGCTTGGACTGAGCCAGGGAGGAGTTGAGACAGGTTACTTTTCTGGGAAGATGGCTGCGTCTGTCATTAATACATCAGTTACCTCGCCTGTAATTAATGACTGACGTGTCAGGCAGAAGGTGACTTTTGATGAAGTGGACCTGTCTGCAGCATACATTCTTGATGGCTTTCCGTCCCACTTCGCTTCAGAGATTCCTAGATGGCAGGCAGCGTTGTATCTTAAATTAAATTTGAGCCTTAACTAAACTCCACTGGCCCACACAGGTAGGAACACAGTCACAGATTCCAGTTAAAGTTGGTGGGAAGAGCAGGATGGGCACAGAAGGGCTGAAAGAGTAGAAATAAAAACAAATGAACACATAATGTAAGCATAGGAAACACAACTAGTAGGAGTCAGCACCTACGCTTCTCATCACTCACCACGTGAGAGTGACTTCCTGACCTCCTTGAGGTGTACCCCTTCCTTCCAGGCTCCTTCAGGTATTATATCGATGGGCTCCTTGGTGGGAGAGGACGATGTAGTCCTGCTGGAAAATGAAGTGAGCTATGTAAAAGCTCAGTTGTCTTCTGAGCCCAGTGATGAAATCTGTGGGGGAGAGAAGAGGCCACGTTCTGTGGCCTGATACACGGGATAGTCACGTGAGTTCACAAGCCCTTCAGAACTCCTGGGAAGTGTTTAGTTTAGGAGTGGCACATGGTCAACTGAATGTGGCATGAGGATGGCCCTAGAGCTTCAGGAGAAGACATCCTTCATGTGAAGGGGCCAGCTTGGATCTCGAACCTGCAAATCTCTACCTGTGGTCTTCTGCCTCAGCTCTTGAATCCTGAATGATGTATGGCACAGCAAAACAAACACATTTAATTCCAGTTAGAGCTCCAGCCCCAAGTCTCTGACTATGATGAGCTGAACTAGACCTTCGAAAATATTCGGAGAACCCTGCTCACTCATTCCTTTTCCTGGGGCCTGGTACTGCTGGCTCAACTTGGTTTTTCAAGTGTGAAGGTGATTTCCTGTCGTCCAGCCACACAGAAAGGAAGAAGAGCCCAAAGACCAGGCCTGTGCTTCAAATTCCATCATCTCTGCTCTTCTGAGGACCATTTGATCTTGGTTGGCCTCTTGACTTTACACCTGCTCAGTAGCTTCAGAGAGGAAGAGAAAATTTATCCTCTTGCAGTAGAAACATTTTGAGGCCACTATGGTGGCTCCAGAATATGTTCTCCAACGTCCCATTTTATTCTCCAAACATATCAGAGCATCTTCTTGTGAGAAATGTGGGAGGAAGGCAAAGATCTTGACCTCCCCTTAAGTGAAGACGGCAGTTAACGGAGCCTGCCACTCCCTCCGGCACGCTCCCTTGGCAGACTCCATTAACAACCATGGTTTTCTGCCTCCAGATCTTACCTGCATCTTTTTCTTTTTTTTTCTTTTCTTTTCTTTTTTGTGGTATGTGCCCCTAGCGGGAACCGAACCCGGGGCTCTCTGGTCCGCAGGCCAACACTCAACCGCAGAGCCAAACTGGCCAGATCTTACCTGCATCTTTTTCAACGCAGACCTTGAGTCAGCTTCTTCTGCTCAGTTTTGTTGTTGAGATAATGTTAGTAATCAGAGCAATATTTGTGATAGGAACGGTAATAACCACATCTCAAGCACTCACTTTGAGCCAAGGTCTTTGCTAAGTACATTACCTGCATTACCTTGTTTAATTCTCCTATCAACCCAGTTAGAATACAGTTATGAGTCTCAATTTACAGATAACGAATCTGAGGTTTAGAGGGGTAAATAATGTGGCAAAGGTCGCAGTACTTACTGATGACGAGTTGGATTTCAGACACAAATTTGTAATGGTCACAGAGTCAGACCACAAGTGCCTGCCGCTCCAGGAATCTCTCTGGCGATGACGACTAGTTTTCCAGTACGCTGACATTGACATTTTGCGTAGAGGAGCCTGCCTCCCAGAGTGCTCCAGAGTTGCTGAGGAGGCAGGCAGGGAAGACCCCACCTCACCCTCCCACACCTTCCCTCCGGTCAGAACCACTCTGTTCGTCTGGGTTGTGTATGAGGCTCCTGTGTAAGATTTGACTTGAAGAAAGGTTTCTGCTGTTAAGAAGGCTTTGAAAACCACTCCCTAGAAGTTAGACCATATGACCAACAGAGAGATATAAAATAAACCAACCAGAATGCTGCTCTTCTCTATTCTGAGACACGTTTCCAATTTCCAGTCGGGAGTCCTGTATAGGAGACGGGAGTCAGCCATTCTGCCCCATTTTGCACGTCCCTTCTGTCCTATAATTTCCCCTCCCCAAAGAACATCTTCTGGTTTGGCTGTTCCAATCTGCTGCCCAGCTTAGTGCACCAAGAAATGTGTTTCTGGTGCTGTGTAATGAGAGGTTATAATTAAAATCAAATTGTGTGTTTCTCTCATGCCCGTATTGCCCAGAAGGGCAAGGCTAACTCAGATGGGTTCAGAACAGATTCCCTCAGGAAAAAGGCAGCTAACACCTCAGCAGTTTCTGGAACAAAATGAGATCATCAGTTTTGACTCCAATTTGGTCAACTGTATTTGCAACCTAATATTTAGGGGCTCTCCCTCTTCCTTCTCACAAGTACAAAAGACATGACAGAGCCTGTCCACCTTTCCCTCCAAGTTGCCCTCAAAAAACAGAAGAGATTGAACATACAAGTCCCAAGGACAGACCAAAGCCTGAGTAACATGGTGTGGACTTGCCTCTGAAGTTTTGCTTTAGATTTTCAAGGAGGTTATTTCCCACTTTCCCTCGAAATACCTATGATTTTCCTTTTCAACATAAAGTAATGTAATGTGGTTTCCCTTCAAATCTCTTGTTCCAGTTGCCACTGTGGCTTCAGATACCCCTAGTATACTACTGTCCCCTAGTATACTACTGTCCCCTAGTATACTACTGTCCCCTAGTATACTACTGTCCCCTAGTATACTACCGTCCACTCCTGCCCCCATTGGAGAACCATCCTACGCGGTATAATTGAAACTCACTTTCAATCCTCTATCAGTTCAATTCTCTAAAAACAAAAATATGGAGAGGCACCCGGTCCCACAGGCAGGACTTCAGAACGAGGCCCAAATTTGGGAGCATTTCCCTTTATTTATAAGGAAAGGGAGGCCCACAGAAATGGCGCGACTTTATCAAGCTCATTCGTCTGGTTAGTTCCAGTTTTCCTGTCATATAACCTCATTCTCAATTAGAAGTATTTCTCAAAGAAGGTTTGATCTTAAGGCCTTTTGAGATCCTCAGAATAGCAAGCAGCAAGTGGCTAAGATGTTGGTAGTTCAGGTTATGAGAGAGGCCTCAAGCTTACTTTGTAGCTAAAAGTTAAAACACTAGAACTGCAGTGTTTTCTAACACTGGACGTCTACATTCTAGTCATTAAGATTGTGTTAGAAACACTATTCAACTTTCATATTTTCTTGAGAAATAAAAAAAAAGGGAGAGAGGGAGAGAAGACTGAAAAACGAAAGAGACCAATAAGGCCAATACCATAGAACTCCACAAGATAAAAATACGAGATGAGCCCACAGAGTATGGGTGACATGCAAATCCAATTATTTTCCCCAAGAGAGAATTGCAATCCTTTTGCTGTCAAAACTGAAGAAATTATATATTTAAAAGCTAAGCCTCTCTCAGTTAAATATATAAAGTACACGTTTCCTAGAGCCTCTGGCACCAGGATAACCCTAGAATTTACTCCTTTTCTTTAATTGGTGCAGAATTATTCTAACAGCATTATGTTTGATTACACTATGGCCACTTGTTCTTAAGCAGATTGTGGCTCCCCCTGGATTTACATCCTCTACTTCCTCCAGATTTCAGGGAGCTGATTTCACAGTCAGGCTTCTGGGTGGTGGCCAGACGGAACAAAGAAGAAATGTCAGGGGGTGCCTTCAGCCTGGATGTTAGGGTGAAGGAAACATTAAAGTCTTCTTTTAATCCAAAAAATACTATGAAAGCTATTTTTCTTTTTCTTTATGAATTTACATAGATTTCATTTTCTAGGTCACCTTGTGCCAGTAGCCTCTATTTTACTAACAATATTTGTTTATTTGTTAAAAAATCAACTGCCAGTGGCAGTCAGTATTCTTACAGTTTTCAAATAGTGTGTGGTTCAATGCACACCTGAGGGTGTGGATGATAATGAGACAAAGTCCATCCTCTGAAAGAGCACATGATTTAGGGAAGTGTTTCCCAGAGTATGATCTGAGGACCACCAGTATCAGATCCACCAAGCATGCCCTTTAATTCTAACTGATTCCCCCTCCTGTTTGTACCTTCTGACCCAGTAGATCTGGGATCCCAGAAATCCATACTCATGAATATCCCTCTAGGTGATGCAGGTACTTGAGCACCAATGTTGGAGAGAACAGGATTTAGTCATGTGTGCTGTATGTCTCCTTGAATCCTGCAAACACTGCTCAAAGGCGGGCATTATTGTGCCAGCTTTGAAGATTATGAGACTGTTGCTGAGAAAGAACACAGGAGTTGTCCAAAGGCATTCAGCTAGGACATACCTGTACAAGGTTCAAACTCAGGTGTGCTTCAAACTACCATAATGTGAGGTACAGGAGAGTGAAATACAATAAAAGCCGGTGGCCATGGGACCACAAAGAAAGGATAACTTTATTCCAATGAGGAGGCCAGCACAGAGCTGGCCAAGTTGATGAGAAGTGAACAGCTGTTCCAAGCAGAAGCTTGAGGGAGCGAATGTATAGCATGAGCAATTACAAGCAGACTGTTGTACCCTGGAGGGTCTGTATGGAGGAGCTGAGCGGGGGGCTTCACAGCCGGGGTCTGACACTGTAAATTTGAGGAGGTGAATAGCATGATCTGATTTGTTTCTAGAAAGTCCCTCAAAGCGTTCTGCACGATAGATTGCAAATGAGAAGAAGAGCAAGGACAGCCAATAAAGAGGTTCTTATTATAACCCAGGCTTTGGGAGATAAGTCTGTGAATTTGGGAGTAGAGAAAATGAATGACAAAATTTCTAGAATCATAACAATTGAAGCCATTCCTAGTATTTATAATAAAATCTAAGTTATTGACTTTTGTATAGATAATATATAAGCATATAAATTCTCATTGTCTACTGAAGTAAAAGTCTAACAGATAAAACAAAGGGTGGAAAATATAAAACGTTATATATTCAATAGACTTGAGAAAACCTAGTGAATAATAATATTACACTGCTATTTACATGTATTAAAATGCTTAGTCTACACCGAATTAGGAAAGAATCCTTTGGAAAAGGAGTTTCAGAAAATGGCTAGGATTATTCAGCCACAGGGTAGTTTCAGAATAAGAAGTTGACCTAAATGTGTTCCCTTTGGTGTCATTTTGATGCCAGAGATTTTAAAATCCCATTAATTTATTCAATAGCTACAATCTGTGAAGTATACGATAAGAGCTATGGGAGATCTAAATAGTAATAAGGCCTAAGGCAATACCCGTGCTCAAGTAGGTCACAATGAAAAGGAATATAAGGCCCTGGCTGGTTTGGCTCAGCAGTTAGAACATCAGCCTGTGGACCAGAGAGTCCCGGGTTTGGTTCCCGCTAAGGGCACGTACCTCAGTTGCAGTTTGTCCCCAGCCTTGGTTGGGGTCATGTGGGTAGCCGACCACTCAGTGTGTCTCTCTCACATCAATGTTTCTCTCTCTCTCTCTTCCTCCCTCTATGTCCTCGGGTGAGGATAAAAATAATAATAAAAAAGAAATATAAGTAGATTCACATCCAAAGGATTCAAGTATGGATGACAATATCAGTAGTCCCCTAAAGAAAAATCTGTAAAAGTCTCATTGAATATATATTTTTAAATATATGTAGATGATTACTAGGGTATCTGTGACCTAACATACTCCTCTGGTCATTTTTGGAAGAGGGGACATACTTGGTGTCAATATGATCACCCATTTCTCTCTTCATTATAGTGTAACCCCCAAGAGAGCAGGAACTGGGTCAGTGTCATTTTCTCCGCACTTTGCCTAACCCCGCGCCTTATCCAAACCGCCCGCTTTTAGTTAATTTTAAGAATGATAATGAGAGACACTGCTTTGCACCAGTGGATCCATTTCAGTGATGCCCGCAAGATCTCCAAGACTAAACAATGCATCGCTTGGGAGTGGGCTCTTCTGACGTAACGCGTGGCCTGTCCTTGCTTTCCAGGCCTTCTACAATTACCACGTCCTGGAACTGCTTCAGATGCTGGTGACAGGAGGCATAAGTTCTCAGATGGAATACCATTTGGGCAAGGATAAGTTCCAAAGGCTGAGTAGCAGCTTCTCGACCATTCTGTCCGAAAGAAAGCGCTGCAAGCTGGGGCTTCTGTCCTTACACCAATCCGTGTTGTTGAACATTGAAGTGAGTCTGCTCTTAATGGAGCTTCCTGCTGCTTTTTGTGTTTCTGGAAAGGGTCCAGGCTACCTGGGTCCCTAGATGGCCTATAGCACAGAAATAATACCAATAATAAGAAGAAATTAAACAACTCATATGTATAGTGTATTTTACAGTGTGCAGTGCATTTTCACATATGTTACATTTGTTTTGACAATGTCTGGAGGTAGGCAAAGCAGTTGTTATTATACCCATCTTCCAGATAAGAAACCCAAGTCTGCAGACCGCATCAGAGAGGTCCAATAATGTGGACTATGACAAGGGTATCAATAACAATTGGAACAGCTGTTATTTACTGAGCATTTCCTCTGTGCCTGTCTGCTTTTTTGTTTTTTTCACTTAATCTGCCTAAGGATTTACATGGTAGGCATTGTTATTAACCTCACCAAACAGATCAAGAAGCAAGGGCCCAGAGAAATAAGTGCTTACCCCCCGAGACCACGTTGTCTACCAGTGGCAAAGCAGGGGCACCTCAGGGTGCCTGACCTGACCGAGGTCTGCCCACTCTCCCTATACCTGCACCACTAAAAGAAATCTAATCAACTCAGCTGAAATCAGGCAGACCTTGTGTTAGGGTCTATAAAACGGACTAGAAAATGCTTGAGTTTTCTTAGCCCACCGAGCTAGTGAACAGCAGATTATAGCAAGGGAGGAGATCACCATTCTGGCAGGTTCTCATGGAGCACCTGGGCATTTGGGGATCAGAGTAGAGTGCTGTTTGGGTAGTTTGCACTGGCATTGCATTTAGCTCTCCAGTGTAACTGTAGGGACAGGCTTTATCGGGGAACATCCTCTGTTGGTTCAGAGTACGTCAGCAGAACCCCCTTCACAAGGAGCAGGCTCCTCCAGGCCCCTGCCTGGCACGTCTCAGCAGACACGGGCCAGAGGGCAAGCCCCATGCTCTGTGCGTCTGTCTCTAGGTGCAAACAGCACTCCAGAGCGCCCTCGGTGTGGTCTGCTCCTTCGTACTTTTGTGACCCTAGTTCCTCCCCGAAGGTTGGCTTGTGAGGGATCCTGTGCCCAGGAAGACAGCCACTGGCAGTTTCCTCTTGGTATCAGAAGTGACAATGGACTGGCCCACACACTTCTCCTTTCTTTCTCCATTTGGGTCTTGTCCTTCCCCTGTCCTTTCCCCCGGGGAGTCACCCCCAGACTGAACAGACTGCCTTCTTTTGACTTCACCGAGCCAATAGCGGCTGCCTTTGGACCTGGGGCCCACTTGGCTGTGGCCTGGGAGCAGGGTCAAGAGGAGTGCTTGGGGCTGGACCCTGCTGTAGGGTTGGATGAGATCACTCTCTGGGGTCACCTAACATCCCAGCTACGTATGTCCCCTGACAACGTCATGTTCCAACCGATTCACTGTTGCTTCTTCATGGGTACCAGAACAGCAGCGGTACTAAAAATGAGCCACACCGCACCCAGACGTGCCTGAAAGACTGGAGTGAGAAACACAGTCACTGGCATTAGAGGCTCCAAACTAATCAAAAGCCTTCCTTCCAGGCCACTTAACGCTGCCACCATAGAGGTACTAGGGAATGGTGCTAAGGTCTTCCACACTCCTATAAGTAAAAGCAAATGACACTCCAGTAAGTGCTTGTCATTGCTTGGTTCAAGCGCCAACAGACATTTGTTTTTCTCTTCTCTCCCCAGCCAAAAAAGATCTTTGGGCAAGTTTTCTGTGGCTTATTAGATCATTTTGGAATCCTGTGCCTTGGCTTGTACCGCAGGATAGATGACGCGGAGCACAAAAGGGGAGTATGCTAGTTTAGCAGGTGCTGGCCGCGCATCCAGCATAAAAGGGAGGTCCCGAACTCAGGCTGCACAGCTGCAAAGGAGGGTGTAGGAATAAAGAAGAATGCACGTAAATGACATGAATAAACTCTGGTAATTATGATCCAATAAAAGCCATGTAACGATGGTGTCTCTGTCCCCAATGCAAACTGAAATGTAGATCCAGATTTTGAACCAGTGTTTTTTTATTGTTTTTTTGTTTGTTTGTTGTAACTTAGCCCATCCTTATCTACGTAATTTTTTAAAGCTAAATGCCACTATTCACGTTGGAAAGATTTACTTGTTTTATGCTGGTTTCCTTGGGTAAATGTTTACTGAGTGCCTCTTTCTAGCCACTCTGCTTTGCACATGTCATTTATGGGAGTTATATATCCAACGTTAAGTTTAAGAAAAGATCAACCTGACAGCAGTGAGGACGATGCAGGAAAAGCATGTGGAGGGCAGGAGGAGACAAGAGAAGGGGCAGGACACAGACGACACGCCACGGAGGTCCAAGCTAAGACTGGCACGGGGGGTGCACAGCGTCGGGAGAGGAGGAGAAACTGAAAATAACAGAGTGGAAATAGATGGATAGAACCTGGTCCAGGAAGAAGGGGGAAGAAGCCAAAGACTGGGAATGGAGTTGTCTTGAATAGGAAGAAAAACAATCTCTCTGTTCACATGAGAAGAGAAGGAAAAGGATGGCGGCCAAGCAAATATAGCTGTAGATGAAGGGTGTGCTTAAGGGAATTTCTTTGTAACACTGGGGTTTCTCAGTGAAGTACAGCGGTGGCCATCGCTGGGAGAGAAGATGGAGGAGGACGTGCTACAGGAGTTGAGAAAGAGGTACGAGGTTAGACCAAGCGCTGAGGAGAGGGAGGAGAGCGTGACTGTGGGTTTTAGCAGCAGTTCCAGACTGAAAGGACACAGGGTTGGAAGTCCTGCTGAAGGTAAAGAGCAGGTGCACTCAGAGTATGGGAATGAAAGAGAAAGACCGACAGGAAGCTGTTATGGACAGTGCTATGTTAAAGCATAAGACTTTAGAGGTGAGACCTGTCAGGAAATTCTAATATCCAGTATGTGGCCAAGAAAGTGTGTTTTGGAGATAAAGTTCACGGGAGAGTGGAAATTAAAGAAATGTGTCTGGATGTGGATTTTTAAACCACATAGATGCTGCAGCTACCTAAGATGATAGGGGCACGAGAGTTTGAAAGAAAAAGTGTCCCAAGTGTCAAAGGTCTAACTAGCCATGGAAAGTTATTGATGACACTGACCAGTCAGGAGGAAGGGTGATAGGGCTGGAGAGCACCACCATAAAGGTGGTGGGGAGGGGTGACTTTCTGCAGGCAGCCCTGGGAGAAGGAGCCATGCTGAACTGTCCCTCTCTCCCTCTCTCCCTCTCTCCCTCTCTCCCTCCCTCTTTCCCTTTCTTCCTCTCTCTCTCTCTCTTTCTCTCCCTCCCTCCTTCTCTCCCTATCCCTCCCCCTCTCCCTTTCCCTTTCTCCCTTTTCTTCTTCTTCCCCTCCCCCTCCCCCTCTCCCTCTCGGCCAATCTGGGAAACATGGTGACTGGGAGAATGTGCAGCCCATACTTGAGAAGACCTCAGTGAAGGAAATGAGATTTCTGTTTTAAAGAAAGTATATGATTATAATAGACCTTGTTTAGGATATTATAGAGATTACAGGGGACTCAGTTGGAAAGATAACAGTGGGAAGATTATTCAGTAAAAGAAAGTCACTGTTGAATTGGGAGTGGCGTTTAGGAAAGGAGAGGTGATCATTGGGCAGCAGTGAAGAAATGCAGGAGGAAAGTCATGAAAGGCTGTCCTATCTCAGCGTTCTGATGTGCACACTGGTGCGTTAATTCATGTCACTCACATTTATGAGGATTTGCTATGTGCCTGACACTGTGTACGGCATCCTGCCTCCCTGTGTTCTTCCCACGCAGGTCCAGGCTGTGGGTGTTCTTGAAGACTCCTCAACACTCCCTGTGTATTTACCGGTCAAGGTTCAAAACAGCATCAGATTGATTTCTGTTTCTTTCCCTTCTTGATGAACTACATTCTATGTGAACATTGGTGGCACCAGCATTAGGGCTGACCTCAGCCAGGATGGAAATATCTGGGATGCCTGTAATCTTCCCCTTTTGATAAAGCTTGGCTGAACGTCCAGGGCTGTGCCAACGGAATTCATTAGCGCAGTAGAGGTTAAAAGCAGCGAAGCCTGGGGTCAGAAAGGTCTTCAGACATCTCTCAGTCGAAACCACAGCCTGACCCTCTCCCTTTCAAACAATGAGAAAAGCAAGGCCCGGAGAAGGGGGGTGCCATGTATAAGTATGGTTACTGTCAGAGGCAGGGATGAAAACTAGCCTCTCAGTTTCTAGTCTGGGACCTCTCCTACTGCACTGTGCCAGACACATTTACTAGTCACAAAGCACCAGTGAGGCAAAGCAAAACAAAGGCATTTCCTCTTCTGGCCCAGCAAAATGACTACCTTACTTCGGCCATTGCCTGTGGCCACCTGGTCCCAGCTGCAGAGGCTCAGACTCATCTTTGCCTTTTCTTACAGGTTTGTGATTACCCGGCCAGCCAATAGGTTTAAGCTGCTGCCCTCGGATCTTCTGTTTTGTGCCATTCCTTTCAACGTTTCTTGTTATGAAAAGGACAATTCTACCTATCTAAGTTCTTACGAAACTATAAATATAGAGCCAGGGATACCAGGGGTGTCTGAAGACACAAATTCACCTCCCGCAACTGACTCAGCTGGCCAGACGTCAACACAGTCATTGACCACATCAGCCCTGTTTCGGGAGCAAAAATCTATCCCTGTGAGTTCGAAGTCAGCCATTTTGACTCGGGGTGGTAAACTGTCACTGCAGACACATCCAGGAAGGATAGACCTGAAGGAGCCCAGTGAGGGGCCTACCAGGACACATTCAGTCTAGACCTGCCGAAGCTCCCAGCCCGCCCAGCGCGGCGTCTGCAGAGATGGCGACTCGGAACAAGGAAACTGGAAACGGAAGCCACGTCCATGCCCACTGCTAAGTGGTTGATCAGCAAGTCTGCACTACCGGGGAAGAAGCAAAAGGCTGGTCCAGTCTCTCTAGGTCTGGTGTGATAAATAAAGAAATATATTCTTTTTAACATGCCTCTGGAAGGAACATTCATTGCTCTGCCCCTTGAGAAGAAAACAAGGTAGTCCTGGCAGTGTTAAAGAAGTTCTCCAGAACCTCTGGGGTCTTCCAGTCAGAGAATATAAGTAATCAAAGTAAACATAAGAAGGACTCAGACACAGGAGACAGGAAGTAAAGAGCCCCCAAATCAAGACTCTTACATTCTTTCTCCTCAAACAGGGAGATAGTAAACTAGTATATTATTTATTTCTCTCTCCTCTTTTTTTTTTTTTTCATGCTTTTTCTTCCTTCATCTCTCTTCATAGGAGGAGAGAAAGACCAGATCAGGAGATGCTGGTTTGAACTAGAAACCAATTTGTGTAAAACTAAGACCTAAGTATATGCCTCGCAAAAGAATGAATATTAAAATATCTTGCGATGGAGTGCCTGGGTGAGGTCAAGTAGATTGAAAGATAGAACCATCCAAATTTTCTAATTCCAGAATGAAGACATATAGCATAACAGGTATGAAACGTTCTCCATATTCAAAAAGAAACCAATCCACTGCCCTATAACCCACGTATCTACTGAAGGCATTTCATCTAGGTATTTAACATAGGGAACAAATGGCCCTGGCCAATTTGGCTCAGCGGTTAGAGCGTCGGCCTGCGGTCCGGAGAGACCCGGGTTCGGTTCCCGCTAAGGGCACGTACCTTGGTTGCAGTTTGTCCCCGGCCCTGGGTGGTCGTGCGGGTGGCAGCCACTCGATGTGTCCCTTCACGTCGATGTTTCTCTCTCTGTATCCCTCCCACTCTATCTGTACAAAAAATGGAAAAATATCCTCGGATGAGGATAAAACAAAAAACAAAAAACAAAAAACATAGGGAACAAATGTTCAGCACATCCAGAAAGTATTCACTCCCAACTGGTGATCTTGTGATCATGGGCTTAGTAAGCAGTGTCTTTTTGTGTTGTACATATCACATAGGTAGAAGAGAAAAGAAAAAATAGACCCTACTTCTCAAATTGTTTATTATATCCCTGACATTTTTAATAACATCTTTGCTGATTTGGTATTATTACCTCTGTTTTACAGAGGAAGAAACTATGTCACAAATAGGGTCGCCAGAGAAAGTATACCCAGTTAAATTTGAATTTCAGATAAACAACAAATTTTTAGTATAAGTATGTCTAAATTATTGCACTTAACTAGTAAGTGATCAAATGAACATGTAAACCTGGTTTATTTGACTCCTGTACTTATACACATTATGCCTCCAAGCACACAAATTAAAGAAATAAAACAAAACAAAAAAAATTCATTCACAGGGAATAAAACTTTGCATTAGTTAAGCTTAGGTTATAATGAAATCAGCTTAATCTATGGAAAAAAAGATAATTGTAAGAAAAGTTGTCAGAGATCAAGGAAATATTTTTTTTTCTTTTTTAAGCTTACCTATCCTCTTCATCTTTCTCTTTATACATATAAATGGTAAAATATTTTTCTGTAATTCCAAATTTACAGGTAGAGTTATGGGTGCATGAGAGATTTAATTGGCCTGTCTCTGAATCTCAAATCCCACTTCCTAAAAGAGGCACAGCTTTGGCCACTCTATCCCAATATCAGTGTCTCAGGAGCTGGGTGCCTCTGAATGGAGGACTCATCCTCAGCGAAGGAAGGGAGAGGTTCCTGCTACCCACATCTACTGCAAAGACAGTCTTCTTTCTCCCCATTCCCTGGGATGTTTTACACACACAGCAGGTTTAGCAGAAACAAAATATTTCTGAGAAAGTATGAAGAAGCCCTATGTCTATTCAAAATCCAATAATCTACTTCTGAATACATATGGACCAATCTGTTCAGCATCTCAACCTCTGTTCTCCAGAATAAAACCTTCTCCCACAAATTATCTCATTTCCAACACAGCAGAGTATTTTATTGGAATGGGTACCAGAAATATGGCTAAAGAAATATTGAGATATATGCAGCTATAGCCAATGTGTGAGCTCTCATACTGCCAGGATGAAGAAATAAAATTGGCAGAACACCCCAAGACTTATATGCCAGGTGATTCTATAACTTCAGAACCAAACCCTTTACCTATAGATGCTGATTTGGTATTATTACTCTATTTTACAAAGGAAAAAAACTATGTCACAAATAGGGTTGCAAGTCAACACTAGATCCTTTAGTGATATAGTAGACACTGAAGTCATAATGATTGTTTAATTCTTATTAATAGAACTGATATGAAAACGAGAAAACATGCAAGCAACTTGCAGTTGGTAAATAACATGTGAGACATTCGTTTTTAGACTTTTTTAAATCATTTAACCCTTTTGAAAATTGGATAAAAACTAGAGCCTTCTTCCCCAGAAAAATTAATATATGTACACATTCCACAAAATTAATCATTTAAGTGTGAGGGAGGTGATGGATCATCCTATAGTCTATCCGTAATCTTCCCAAACTTCTAACATAGGTCTTCTATAACCAGTGGAAGGGTCACCAGAAAGAATAGAAGTCAGGAGAGTCAGGAGACCTGAGTCTTTGTTTTAGGTATCTCGTTCAACATTTGTGATCTTAGGCAAGTTCTTAAACTTCTCTCAGCTACTTTACCAGCATATTGTACATTTTGTAAAAGCAGGAAGTTGAACTAGGAGAATTTTAACATCACTTCCATCTTCATTTATTGAACATATATTTATTCACTGTGTACTGTGTATCAGGCACTGTGTTAGATGCTGAGGATCGAGTGATTACCAAGATGAAGTTGCTTTCCTCATGGAGCATACACTCTATGGAGGAGGCATAAAATAAATGAATATGTAAATGAACAAGATAATAACAGATTGTGTCAAATACTGTGAAGGGAATAAACATGTTGATATGATAGAAAATGTGGTGGTCAGAGACCACTGAAAGATGGGATCCTGTGGAAAACTGTTTGTAGAAAAAGGAACTTGAAGTATTCAAGAAAAGAAAGAAAGCCAATGTGGTTAGAACATAGTGACTAAGCCAGAGGAAGGATTCCATAAGATGATATTGGAAACATGACCTGGTTAAGAAAGATTCTATAGACAAAGCAAAACAGATTAAATTATATTCTAAGTGCAATGAGAAACTCTTTAACAATTTTAAATAAAAGAATGATGTGTTGTCATTAATATTTGTAAAGATCACTCTGGCTCTTACAGTTTCAGTAGGATGACTAAGTGAATTCAAATGGATTTGAAATGGAAACTTTCAGCCAGAAACAAGAGGGAGGTCATATTCAAAAAGGGTGTTTGTGAGAGATACAGGATTCATATAGAGAACTGTTCAGTCCTTGGCTGAGATTATAATGCCATGTGGAGCCAGGAGATGTAGATTAGAACTAAGTCCCAATTTAACCATCACCTGGGAAGGATCTGCTGGTCTGTGTAAGAGGCAATAAACAGACTCTTCCCATTGGTCCAAGAAAATAACAAGAACATTTATCTTTGCTTAGGGAGGTAGGTGTAAAACAAAACAACAACAACAACCACACACACACACACACACACACACACACACACACACACACCCCTATCATGAGAAACTGAAGCTCCAAGCTAGTATAATGTTCAGGTGTAGTATCCCAATTTATATCCTGCATGGCAGGAATTAAAAACTGAGTAAGTAATGGGAAAAAAAAAAAAAAGCTGGTTCCAGACCAATAATCCCCTTGAAGTAATTGGTAGAAAGAAATTAATAATGCTCGGCAGGAAAGAGTTCTACACTCAGGGCAAACAGATCTCCATGGGGTGGGGTGAGGGGCATTGAACTTAATACATTTTAAAAACTAATAATAAGCCCATTAAAGCTTAGAAATGAAATGAGAAAAGTATCTTCAAAAGTGAGAGTCAGTAGACAAATCAAACAAGGGGGTCAGCATGACCCCAGATTTTGGATAGTAGAACAATCTGGAAAAGACCATAAAATTTATACATTTAAAAATATTTTTTAAGAATGAAAAAGTTTTAAAAATATGATTAGAAGTCATAATAAAAGAAAAGGATACTGTGAAAATGAGCAGGCAGAGTTGAAAAAGTATCAAAACTTCTAAGAAATTTTAATGAAGTTGAGCAACAAATTAAAATTTTAATGTAGAAGTTGAGCCACAAATTAGATACTGATGAATCTGAAGAACTGGCTTAAAATGTAAAATGGAGAGATAAACACATGGAAAATATGAAAAAGATGGTAAGAGACATGGAAGAAAAAAAGAAAAAGTCCAAAATATAAGTAACTCAATTTTCATATGGGGAGATAATGGAGAAGATGTCCCACAAAATTAGTCTTAAAATTTTAAGAATTGATGAAATACAAGAATCCTGAGATACAAGAAGTCGAGTGAGTTGTGAGCAGGAAAATTAAAATAAATCTACATGCAGACAAATTCATACTTAGAAAAGCAGGTTTCCTACAAAGGGATCACCATTGAGAAACTGAAAGAAAAAAAAAAAAAATATATATATATATATATATATATATATATATATATATATTAAAATATATATATATATGACCAATAGCATGAAAATGGTGAGGCAAAAATAATAAAAGACATAAAAATATGAATAGAATAATATACTATGTAAATTACCATTCAAAACAGTTTTAACTAAGAACACTTAGAGACCTGTACTGAAAGAATTAAAAAGGTATACTTCAATGAGAAGAGCATGAATCCCAAAAGATAGAGAAATACTTAAATAATAAAAACATAATTGGTAATTATTGAAGTAACTATAGATATCACTTGCAATAGCAATAGTTATAGTAATAATTTTAGAAGGGTTAAGAACAA